ACAAAAATAAATTAGATAAGTTAACTGGCTAAATATAAATATTTTAATTATTTAAAATTTTAGCCTTTAGTAGAAATCCAATATCTTATTTTCAAGATATAGCTAACAAATTGTGAGTCCTCCTTTTTATTATGCTTATTTGATGGCCCTCTTCATAATTAGAATCTGTAAACAAGAAACTTAAAAGTGAAATTTTTATTCTGAAGTAGACAACTGGAAGTCATGTTTTAGTCAACATAGATGTGTATTAACTTGGTTTGGGGCAAAGCATTTCTCATTGTTAGAATTCATTTGTCAGGCCCAGTGCAATAACGTAGTAGTTAAGGTCCTCACCTTGCACCCCCGGGCTCCCATACGGGTGCTAGTTCATGTTCCGGCAATCCCACTATCCATCCAGCTCCCTGCTTGTGACCTGAGAAAGCAGTAGAGGACAGACAAAAACCTTGGGACCCTGAACCCATGTGGGAGACCCAGAAGAGACTCCTGGCTCCTGGCTTCAGACTGGCTCAGCTCTGGCTGTTACGGCCACTTGGGGAGTGAATCATCGGATGGAAGATCTTCCTCTCCTCCTCCCTGTATATCTGACTTTGTAATAAAAATAAAATAAACTTTAAAATAAAAAGAATCAGTTGAAACTGTTGGATCATGTAATTTCAATGTCCTTTCTTGCTATTTTATGCTATTTTTACTTGTAATAATTTTAAAATAAATATGAAAATGGTTATTGTACAGTATTATGATCAAAAGAACATTTTCAGGCTGGTACTTTTTCTCACTGTTAAGATGTCTTTGTTCCCATATCAGAGTTCCTTGTTTGGCTTTCTGGCTCTGGCTCCTAAATACAAATCCTGGTAGGCAGCAGTAAAGGCAGAAGGAGTTAGATTCCTGCCACCCATTGTAGAGATCTGGTTTGCATTACTGATCCCAGCCTCAGACCCAGACTGTCACTTTTGAAGCTCTGGCACTTGTGGGCATCAGGACAGTAAACCAGGGAGTAGAATTTGCTGTATATAGGTCAGTTTGTCTGTTTCTGTATCTCTGGTCTTCAAATGCAAACACACAAAAATTTTTAAGTTGTGAACATTCTTAGTATTTCTTTTATTTAAACTTTTATTTAGATACAATTTTAAACAGCTTTTTTTTTTTTTTACAAGATTTGGAAATGACTATTATACCTTTTGTTCCAAATTATTTGATAGAAGTTTGTGTGTTAGGGGGATCAAGATCGTGGAATAGGGTAAGGATACGTTTAAACGGATGGTAAAACATTGAATCAGGATGAAGCAGAGAGGCCATGTTTCAGGAAATAGGAAAGAACAGAACAACAGCAGAGGGGTACCTGGAGACTGATAGACACAGGAAAGCAGTGAGCACAACGGTGTGGTGTTGCAGTGACTGATACTCCAGTGGCATTCAGCTAATGGCAGTCTGAACTCCACCAGCAGCCAGAACTCCAGCAGCAACCAGGTGGGAAGGAACTTTCACTGGGAGATTCGGAGGTGAACCCAGACAAAGAACTGTCTGTCCTGCTGGTCTGTTTGATTTGACCAGGAGCAGAGACAGAGCAGTAGGACTCAGATGGCCAGAGTGAGAACAGGGTGGATTTCATAGCCCAGTCAGCTCCCTAGAGCTGAATCGGGTGCCATTTTGCGTAAAGAGGAAAGGGCAAAGGAAAGGAGTGAACATGCGCTGAGCTAGGAGTGAGCTATTTTCTAACTCAGTGAACTGCATCGCCGTGGCATTCTACAGGTTCCACCCAAGACAGGTCTGGGTAGCGCTTGGATCTGAAGGCCAGCGGATCAAGAAATGTAGTGGTGGTACATCAGGCGCCATTTTGTGCACTGTGGCAATAGTTTTAGGACTGCAGGGGACAACAATGAACTGCATGTGAGAACTCACTGAGTCCAGTGGATTGCACTGGTCCCACAGGAAAATAATACCGACTGTGGCATCAAATGGGTCGAAATAGGTCCGTGTGGCACCCAGACCTAACATCCAACAGGTTCCAACATCATCAGCACCATCAACAACCTAACTAGATAGTACACCTGGTGTCTCTCTAATCCTGGGACCTGCTACAACCGGAAGTGGGAGAAAGGTTGAAGAGACAACGGTGCAGCCTTAGCATGGTATCACAGGAGGTAGAGAGTGCTGAGCCAAGAGCTGGGGCTGTGGAGACCACAGTGGAAATGTGACATAAGAGCTCTTACCTGGAACTCACTGGAGGTTGTGGCACAAGTGGCTGCAAGCCAAAAGTTGTATACCAACTGCAATAAGTAAAATTGCAGTGTAGACTTGTGGGTGACACAGCTTAGAAACCTACCCCAAGGAGGAGACTCTGCTAACCAGAAGTACAATGATCAAGAGCAAAAGAAGAGACAAAGGCACAATGAATATGACTGAAAACTCCCCTGCAAAGGAGCAAAACCCTATGCCAACGTCAGAGTTAACTGAGGAAGACATTGAGGAAATGGGGGACACCGAATCCGTAAGACTCCTTTTAAAGGTACTGATCAAAAATGAGAAGCTCATGCGACAGTTCAAAGAATTTAAGGAAGCAAGGCTGATATATCAGAAATTAAGAACGCAGTAGTAAAATTAAAAGTACAATGGAGAGTATCCAAAATAAAATGAAGCAAGCAGAAGAAAGAATCTCAGAATTGGAAGATATTTCCTATCACCAAGGGGAAGCAAACAAAAAGCTGGAAGCAGAGCTGGATCAGGCTAAAAACAGTATCCAAGAATTGAAAGACACTATTAAGGGGCCAACTATAAGAGTTACGGGAATCCCAGGAGGTGCAGAAAGAGAAGCTGAGTTTTGAAATACATTTAATGAAATAATAAAGGAAAATTTCCCTCATCTGGAGAAAGAATTGGGAAACAAGATCCAGGAGAGGCATAGAACACCCAACAGGGGTGACCAAAAGTGATCTTCGTCACAACACATGATAACCAAGCTCTGTTCAATTGAACATAAGAAAAGATCCTTAAATGTGCACGTAAAAAAAAAAAAAAACTCACAGGACATATAAAGGAATGCCAATTAAACTCACAGGAGATCTCTCACAGGAAACTACAGGCAAGAAGAGAATGGAGTGACATATTTCAGATTCTAAAAGAAAAAAATTGTCAGCCTAGGATAACATATCCAGCAAAGCTTTCTTTCATCTTTGAAAATGAAATAAAATTCTTCCACAGTAAAGGAAAGTTAAAAGAATATGCCTCTTCCAAACCTGCCCTACAAATGATACTTCAAGGTGTTCTCTTGACAGAGAAGAGGAATAACACCTACCAAAACCAAAGGCAAACGGGAAGAACATCCCAGTAAAATGACAGCGGAAGAGTAAACCAATGAACACACCATTCCTAAAAGGACAGGACCAAATTACCACCCATTCATGTTAACCCTGAATGTAATTGGCTTAAACTCAATCAAATGTCATAGTTAGTAGACTGGATTAAAAAACAAAACCCATCTTTTTGTTGTTTAGAAGAATCACATTTCACCAGGAAAAATCAGAGGAAACTATATTGCATGGGTTTTGATGTTTTCTGTTAGTTTAATTTCTTCAAAACACTTTCTTCTGATTAAATCATGCAGTGACTCGTAGATCATGCAGTGGCATCATTTTCTTCAAGATGGTTCTTGATTTTCATTTCTTCAGCTACACGTTAGTCATTTTGTAGCATGTTATTTAACTTCATGGTGTTGTTAATTTCTTTTTTCTCTCTGATGTTGATTTTGTTTTGTGGCATTTCATCTAAGGGAATGTATAGTAGCTGTGTAATGGAGACTGTCGTATGTAGTAACATGTCATTTAACTTCATGGCATTGTAAATTTCTATTTTTCTTTCTATTGTTGATTTTGTACTGTGACTTTTCATTTAAGGGGATGTACAGTAGCTATGAAATGGAGACTAACATCCAGTTGTGAGATGCAGTGTAGTATACATTTCTGCTTCCAGACAAAGATGGACTTACAATGAAACTGTTTACTATATCTTGACAATAGGATTCTGGACTCTGCCATTGTCCTTGCCCGCAATGATGGTCATATAACTGAGTATGAAGAACTATATGTTAGTAATGATATAGAGGAACTAATGGTGGGGAGGGAATTGGGGAGGGGATAATGGAATATAGAACAGTATCATAATAATAACAATAATAAAATAATAAAAAAAGAAGTTTGTATGTAATTCCGAAGCTAATTTAGGAAAGAGCAAATACTAATTTGATTGAATAAAGAAAAATAAGAAATGCACATAGCACCAAACTAAAGTTTGGCACTGTAATAAATATGCTTTTTAAAATCTGTAATCTTGTTATCTATATGTAGGTGTGAGTAGATACTTTTATTTCTTAATTGCTACTTGTTTCTCTGCTATTAATATCAATAACATTTCATTTCATTTCATTTTATGACACAGTTTCATAGGCTGTGGGATTCCCCAAACCCCTCCCCATGCCTTCCCCCATGGTGGAATCCTCCACCTTGTTGTAATATTACAGTTCAAATCCAGTCATGATTCTTTCATTGCAAGCATGTACCATGCATAGAGTCCAGCATCTTATTGTCCAGATAAATTCAACAGTTTCTTGGCGAGACCATCTCTGGTCTGAAAGTAGAGCTGGTAGAATATCATCCCGTTCAATGAAAAGCCACAACATAACATCAACAACAATTTACAACATTCTGGAGTTAATTGACATGATATTCAGTGACCCATATGTTTTTTAGAAAATGCAAGTTCATAACCTCATCCTGTGACTGCTTCATTGACATTTCAATTTAGTTTATGCACAACCGGCTGCTATTCACCTTAAAATGGCTATAGGATACTATTCAGCTGTCTCGTGTCTATTTTCTTTTTAGTATTTAGCAGTTTATAGTATTGAAGCATAAGTTTTACTAAACTTGGCAAATTTTAGTATAGTCCAAACTGGCATATAAATCTAACAAGGCATATGTCAACAGTTGAGGCACAGAAAAGTTTTAGGAGGGGTGCGCAGAGAAATCTTCAATACCTTAGTGAGGAGTATTTAATCTTTGTGTCCTTCCTAGTAGGTATATGTGAGTCCGAGCTGACCATTTCCTCTCTGGTTCTAAGCTTTCCTTATTGTTCCCTGTGTATCTAATCTAATTGGGGGGCAATGTTGGGGGGAGGGGTCTCCAGAGCGACTCTGATGCTCATTGCAAGAGAGGGTGTGGGTCCAAAGTTGGAACTAAGTAAGGACCAGAGAAAGCTCCCCTCCTGAGTCCCAAAGGAATTTTACTGTTCTGTTTCTGCGCACTGCTCAGGGTTCCTGGCTGTTGTTCCGATGACCTTGGATCCTGCGAGAAAGGATTTGGGCTTCTTCCATCCCATGTGGGAGATCTGAATGGAAGTGAATGACTCAGAGTTCTTGGCCTACAAGGGCACTCCAATTCCCATGGTCTCCTTAGCAGTTGGGATGTAGTCCTTGTTGCTGGTACTGATAGTCCTTGGTGAGGATCCAGGAGTTTCCAGGGTTGGGATACAAGCCTCCTCCTGTCCACCTGCTCCTCTCTAGGTTCCCCCCTGCTCTGTGCATATGACCTCCTGTTAAGACGTTGTCAGGATCACTCTTGATTTCCCCTGTATATCTTTAGAGTTTTGCTAATGCCTAGTGCTGATTCGAGTCTGTTATCTGCATATATCTGTTATATTCTTGATAGGTTATACTTAACATCTTCCTCACACATTTTTAGGAAGTGGAAGATGGCTGCTTATTTTGATGAGAATGTATACTACAAATCGGTGCTAAAATTTATTCTGAGAGAAGAAATACTAGGGCTAAAGGTTATTGTGCAACTTTAAAAACTTGAAGCTACAGTAAGGAATGTTGTATATTATGATATAACATACAACTTCTGTATGGATTTGCATTGCTTATATGTGTCTATTTATTAATGTATATATAGTATCATGTTTCAGTAATTCTAATATTTCTAATTTTTAAAAATAACTTTTTATATAAATGTGCAGTGAGAGTCTCATATATCAGACAGACTACACAGCGATTGTGAATTTTTTTGTCATTGATAATGCTTGAGCATCAAAGCTTACAGATTTATACAATGACATGAAGAAACACCTGGGTATACTACATAGTAATGGAGGTTCTTTATGTCCTGCTGAGTCAACAATAATCACGATATAGTTTTATAGGTATAGGGACCCCCCTCCAACTCTCAATTCTGCCCCCCCCCCAAATTTTACCCCCATATTATAGCACTTCAACAATAGTCATAGTTCAACATCCTACTATTGAAGTTTATCATGGCATTATGAGCATAGGCAAAGGTAGAAAATCTAGCATCATATTGTCAATATATTACACTGCTTCTTTGGAAGTCCTCCTTTTAGTCTGGAGTAGACGACTATGGCAACATGTTTTCAATTCCTGATATGCTAGTCTTTCTAGAGAGAGAGAGAGAGAGAGAGAGATATGTTTTGCATTTCCATGAAGATTTCCTTGTATCAGACAAAATACATGTTGTTTAGGACAAGCCTATTTCACTGAACATAACACTCTCCGGTTAGGAACATTTTGTTGCAAAAGGTAGAATTTTATTCTTTGTAGTGACTATGTAGTATTCAATGGAGTAGATGTCCCAGAGTTTCTTTATCCATCTGTGTTTTAATGGGAATCTGGGTTGTTTCCATGTCTTCAATATTGTGGATTGTGTTGCTATAAATATAGGGTTAAATGTTACTTTTTCATGTGTGGATTTCATTTCATTAGACTATGTATCAGGCATATAGTCTCTTTTTCTCCACATCTACTCCAACAGGTATTATTCTCAGATTTCTGAATGTAGGCCATTCTCAGTAGACTTAAGGGGTTGAACTTCACTGTGGTTTTCATTTGAATTTTCCTGATAGCTAGGAAGCCTGGATTTTTTTTTTCTTTCCTTCACTCATTCCTTAACAGAATTGTTCCTTTGGCTCTTGTTGAGTTTCAGAAACACTTGGTAAATACTGGATATAGTCTCCTATATATTGCATGGTGTGCAAAGATTTTCTCCTATTCTGTCCATTACCTGTTCACTTTGTTGATCATTTGCTTTGCAGTACAGAAGCTTCTTAGTTTAGTGCAGTCCCATCTGTTTGTTTGCAGTCCTGTCATTTGGCTTTGACTGACTGTGCTTCTGTTTATTTTGCTAATGAAATCTTTGCCTATAACTCTACCTAGTAGAGTGCTTTCCTTGTTATCTTCTAATAGATTGATGGTTTCTGGGTGAAGGTTTAGGTCCTTGATTTATTTAGACTTAATTTTTGCATAAGGTAAAGTTTTTTTGTTTGTTTGTTTGTTTGTTTAATTTTTTTTTTTACTTCTGCAGATTGCCATCTAGCTGTCCCAACAGCATAACAGCATTTGTTGAAGAGACTAAACCTTTCCCCCTGGGTTATATTCAGGTCTCTTGTCAAAGAGTAGCTGGCTGTACATGTGTAGGCTCCCTTCTGGGGTTACTGTTTTGTTCCATTGATCTTCTCTCTTTCTGTACCAGTACCATGCTATTTTAATTACCACTATCCTATAGTATGTCTTGATGCCTCAAATTGTCATTGCTCCAATTTTATTTTTATTCTTTAGGATAACTGTTGCTATTCATGGTTTCTTATTTTTCCAGATGAATTTTTATGTCATCTTTTCCAGTTTTGAGAGGAATGTTGATGGGATTTTGATTGGGATTACACTGAATCTGTGTATGACTTCTGGTAAAGTTTTCCATCCTATACTCTCTTCTATTTATTATTTTGATATTTTGTGAGTTTCATCATAGAGGTCTTCCACATTTTTGGTTAGATTTCATCCAACACTATAGTAAGTGTAATAGTTGTTATTTCAATGTTAGTTAACAATAAAATCTTTTTGTTTTATTATGCATGGAAATTATTAAAACTTTTAGCTTAGTGACACTACTGCATTTATTGTTGCAGTTACATCATAATGTATTTTTATATCTTGTTAAGACTATACTGTACAGAAACTAGAACTCTCTTCTTTACCATTGAATTAGCAAAATTTTCTATCTTTAGAATCACCAGCTTCTCTGAATCAGATAAAAATGTGATTCATACAAACAAGAGACTGAATGGACAAAATAGATAAGCTATTGTAATAGTTTTCATAGCTAATGAAAATTTGCTTGCTTTATTTCCTTTAGCAAATTATTCAAAGATTTTCTCTTAAGACATTCTATAACCTTACTATATGTGAAAATATATTCAGACTCTGGAGAAAATGTACAGTGGAAAGTATCATCAAGTCTCAAAAACGATAGAAGCAATTTGATATTTCATGTAGTATTCTTACAGTACAGGAATAATTTTGATGGGGAATGATATATCAAGTACAGAAATTGCTGAAGTAAGATTTTAAATATATATATATATACATATATATATATTTTTTTATTTTAAAGTCAAATATACAGAGAGGAGGAGAGACAGAGAGAGAGATGTTTCATCCACTGATTCACTCCCCAAGTGGCCACAATGGCCAGAGCTGAGCCAATCCCAAACCAGAGCCAGGAAACCGCTCTGGGTCTCTCAAGTGGATGCAGAGTCCCAAGGCTTTGGGCCATCCTCGACTGCTCCCCCAGGCCACAAGCAGGGAGCTGGATGGGAAGTGGGGCCACCAGGATTGGAACCAGCTCCCAGTTGGGATCCCGGTATGTGCAATGCAAGGACTTTAGCCAGTAGGCCACTCTGTTGGGCCCTGAAGTAATATTTTTTAAAACACTGAAAGCAAGTTACATATGACAAAACCTAACATTTGCATCTAAATAGTGTGCTTTCTTATTTAAATAAAGTAGTTATATCTCAATTTGCCTTTTACAACACAGAATTATTGTTTTATAGATGAAAAACTGAAACTGAGAAAAGAACTCACAAATTATAGAGTGGCTTGTGGCAAAGTGAAAAATATGTCAGTTTTTTTTGATTGAGCAATTTTGTTTTCATTTTGCTTTTAATATATTTTTAAATTTTATTTTTGATGATGTTTGCATAGTTGGTCAGGGTTGGAAGCATTGAGGATCATGGGAAAGTGGGCAAGACTTTACACATTTTGTTTTTCTTCTTCCTTTTTCTGGATCATGGGAGGATACAATGGGAGAGACCACACCCAGCCTCTCCAGTACCTGATGTCATCCCAGGGTTTCCATTGTGGAACATGTTCTGAGGCTCTGCTCAAGTGGTTTTAATAGTTCTGAGATACTGTTGATAACACTTCTCCAAGAATGAGGAAATCCTTCCAAGGTCACTTGGCTGACATAGTCCACCTCAGAATTTCCATTTGCCCAGAAGTTTGCTGTCAAGCTATACTGAGGTAGTTGGTCAATTTGTTCTGCTCTCATTCCTCTGCAAACCATTGTGTACTGTGGTCCAGCACAACACTGCCCACCACACACTTGGCCCTCACATATACTAGGGGGAGCTGAAACCTAGTCAAAGTGATCCCCATTAAGCCCCACTGGACCAGCCCCCAGCTCTGGCTCCTATGTTTGCCAGCTTGTGTAATGGACTGGTCCAGTCTGTCCCACATCTAATTCAACTGTCATACATATCATTGGACATTGAAGCTTAACCCAACTGACTCCATCTTCATGCCTGCGGGTGCCACCATCTGTCCAGCCAGGCCCACGTCTAGTACTGGTCCTCATGCTCACCAGTGGGAGTTGCAGCTCATCAGAGATGTGCCCATAGCCTCCCCAGTGGATACATTCCCTGCCCTGGATCTTGCACTCTCTAAATTGTTCTGCAATCTTGCTCCACAGGACTTGCCCCCCAATCCCATCACTTTCCAGCTGATGCTGTTACAGAGCCATCTGTCTGCCCTTAGTCCAGTTTATACCTATACCAGTGAATAAAATTGATGGCCCAAGCTGGCTCTCCCCCTAACCCAGTTCACATGTAGACCAATAGGTGTTGTAGCTCTGCTTGGCCTGGCCTGCCACAAGTCTCAGCTCTCACACTCACCACCAGAAGCATTGGTCCAGCATAGGAGTCCTCAGTACTCCCCTACCAGGCTCACACACCTACCTTTCACCTCCACCCCAAGTCTCACATGTGCTGGTGGGTGTTGTGGCCCAGTCTGGCATGGCCCATCATACCTCAACATTTGCCGACAGGTGTTATGGTCTGGCCTGGCTCAGTCTGCCCCCATTCTAGCTTGTTCTAGCAGGTGCTCCAAACCAACCCCTGTCCCTGCCCTAATGTGTACTGGCTGGTGATTTGACGAGACCCTGCGTGTCTTACAACCCATCCTGGTTCTCAGATCTGCCAGTGGCTGTTATAAACTGACCCAGCATGACCCACCACAAGACCTGAGCGTCACATATGCTGACAGGTACTGTAACCTGGTCAAGTCTGGGCTGATTCTTACCTTAGTTCTTGCATTCACCTGCAAGGACTGTGCCCTGACAAAAAAGTTTCCTCAGCCCCTTATTGGGTCTCCTCCCAGTGGCAGATCTTACACACACCGGCGAGTCCTTGGCCCGTGCTTAGTCCAGCTCCAATTCTGGCAGGAACAGTAGCCTTACCCAACTGGCCCACACCCATTCTGGTTCTTACTCTTTGGTGTTACAGCCCAGCCACACCTAGTCTACACCCTGACATAGCTCTCATGTGGTCTAGTGGGAGCTAAAACCTAGTCCAGCTCATCCTACACCCATTTTGGCTCTTGTGAGTACCAGTGGGTGCTGGAGTCTAGCCCAGTTTTGCACAACCCAGACCCAGTCCGAACCCATGCTGAGGGACACTGCAGTCATGTCCAGTCCAGATTGTCAGCCCTTTCTGGATCTTGTTCTCACCAGTGGTAACCACAAACTAGCTAGGATGTCCCCATAGTTTTACAACCAGGCCTGTTTCCGGAACTGGAATTTTTTTCACATTTCAATGATTTTTTGACCCAGCTCAGCAAACTTCATCCTGTGTCTTGACCTTTGCCATCTGATGCTGCAGCCTGGCCTAACCCAGCTAGCCCTCAATACAGCTCTCGCTGGTGAGTACTACAGCCTGGCATTGCACAGTCCACTCCCATCCTTGACTCATGTAAATTGGTAGGTGTAGTAGCCTAGCCTGGCATGACCTGCATTTTAGCCTGGCTCCTGCACTTGCCAGCGAGCTAAGGTCGGCCGAGACTTGTCTGGTTCACCCCCTTCCAAAACCAACCCACACATTTGCCAACGGGTGGAGCTACCCTGCTCAGCCTGACTAACATCCTGACCTGAATCACATGCTCACCAGTGGGAGCTATGGCCCACCAGGAAAGTTTCCCATGTTCCCCCACTAGCCCCAGTCCTAGATCCAGATCTTGCAAGTGCCACCAGATGTTATTCCTTACTAGTCACAGACTGCCTCTCTGTTCTAGCTTATATATAAGTGATGGATATTATGGCCCTGCCTGCCCCACACTGTATTCTTGGGAGTGCCAGAGGGTGCTGCAGCCTGGACCAACCCAGTCTGTACCCAACCCCAGGATCCTTGAAAGTCAGAAGGTTCCATGGGCTTGCCTAGTTCAGTCTGTCACCACCAACCTCCTCCTCCCCAACCCTTGCTCCCAAGCAAAGCAGCTGACATTGCAGATCACAGGGGTGGGCCCATATATCCCTCCATGAAATCTGCCTCAGACCCTGTTAATGCCATGGCCCAGACTAACATTTCCTGTCCCAACTCTTACTGGCTGGTATTATGATCTGTCTCTGCTAGATAGCCCCCAGCCCAAGCTTTAGTGTGCACCAGTGAATAGTATTTGGTATTGGTTGATCCTAACTACCCCGGCTCTGATTTCCCACAAGGACTGGTGCTTCAGTCTGACCTTTAAAACTCCTTATGTTCTCTCCTCAAAATCACACCACTGGTGGCCTGAGGGCTTCAACCCAAGCTATGCTACCTGAACTATGCCCCCAGTAGTAGCCAACCCCTCCGGCTATGAGCACCTGGCAGGCTGATGGGTCCAAGCCTTTAGATCTGAACTTCACCCCCAGGATGAACTGACCCACCTGGCTGCCTGAACCACCACACCCAAGCCCCGCCACTTGGAAGCCAGACCCCAGGGCAGGCCGACCTCCCCCACTCTGTGAACATTTTTTAAATATGCATCAGAAAATTATGCTTTATGTAATTTATACCTTAATAAAATGTAAAATACTGTTTTAATGACATTAATAACCTGTTTTTAGCTAATGAAAATTTAACTATAATAAGTGATTTAATTTAGCATCTAAAAATTAATTTGGATAAATAGCCCTGAATGTACAAATAACCACAGCTTTTATTAAATACAAAACTGTTGGATCTGTATAACATAGCTTATAGAAAATGATCTTACACGATAAAATTACAGCATATTAAAATGGAAGTATAAAGTGATGCCTACACTACTGAAAACAAAAGGGACTGCTTTACTGATTTTATGAAATAGTTAAAATTTAAATCTTTTTTTTAGAAATGTTGGAAATATTGAATTATCCCACATGGAGTATCTGGCCAGGTTTTATTATACTACTGTGGACTAAAATCATTGTATGAGCTCAGATGTTTTCCTATAATAAATTAGAAGAATTTTATCCTTGTAACCAACTTCAGTTTTGATCAGTGGCTGTAGTAAACTTCTAAGGCAGTCTAGTCATAGAGTTGATAGGCAACTCGGTGCACACCTTGATTGATTACCACGTTAAAAGTATGTACCCAGTCCACTGGGGACTTTGCAGCGAATAGGCTAAGGACAATATCACAAAGATGTTAGTGGCACCAACAATGGGAAATCCAAATTGCTAGATAAGATGTAAGCAAGGGATTTATTTTGAGACCCCCACAGCTGGAGAAAGGGATCATCCTTCCTCTTTTGCCAGCTTTTGGGAGTTATCACTTTCACTGGATGATTAAAGCTACTGAAGCAGCCAGCATTTACAGTAAATCAAGACAAATGTGCCCTTGAGTAAGGGAGTGCCCTTTCCTTGCGTAGGTAATGTACCTTGTTCAAGGCAAATTTGGATGTTTTACACAAGGTGACTGGAGCAGCAAGGCAGCTCCATGGCAGTATATACACAGGTGACTCTATGAATGTGTCCATAAGATTCGAGCAAAGATCTGATAATATCTACTTGCAATCTCAAAGGGGTCTACAATACCCCACCACAATTCTGGTAACCACTGACACTTAATGGCAAAGAGCACATTCTTTACTGGATTCTAGAACCTGTTTGTTAGTTCCAGGAATGTTCTAGGCTTTTACTGTATTCCCTATTAGCTTTTGTGCTGTGTGTAGGAGCTAACATAACCACTGAGTGGTTACATATTTACCTAAAGGTGTCATCCTCATTAGTTCATGGATGGAAAAGTGGCATGTGATCTGTCATGGTGTACAGAATTTTTTTCGCAATGTTCTCTCTCCCAAAGATTTTACCACATGTTGCATCCCATAATGGTTAGTGAATAGTAGTTAAGAACTCATTGACATTGCCCAGCCATCCATCTGCTTATAGAGAGCCCATTGAGTACTTTTGTGATTATCTGATTCCCACCAGATTGTCTTAGTGGAAAGCTGGAACACTATCACTGTCTACTGAGTGAGATGTACCAGACCTCCACAGCCCATCCTAGTAAAAACAAACAAAAAAAAAATACTGGTTCCATGGTGCATGGAATGTTTGGAAGTGCACTGCTTGTCAAATAAGTCACAGGCCCCAAATCTCTTGTAATTCCTGCAGAAATGGGCTTGCATTTAGAACTCCCCATTGATGCAGGTAACCCGCTCCCACCTTCACCAGTGTGGAGATTTGTGCTATTCCACTACGCAGCCTACAAAGGAGCAAAAACTACACAGTAATACACAGTGCCAGTTATGCTTTCAGGGGCCGTCAAGGTGGTATACACTTCAGCAGCATTCTTTTAATTACAAAGTACTAAATATCTACTCCTTTCCACAATTGGAACCAAAATCCAATGGATCTCCTTTCTCTTTTATGCCATTGCCCAACGCCCCATCCAAACTCTTCTGTAGTAACATAAACATCAAGTTCACATGGGATGGATGCATAAAATAAACAACCCTATGATCTCTTATACATGCTGCATAGTCATTGGGATGAGAAAAGCCTGATTTTTTTCCCTTAAGACTGTCTTGGGAATGGCATTTTTCTTACCTGACCAGACAACTCCGAAGAACTTGACCAAGAGTCCTGGTCAATGCATTTTGAACTCATTGACTTCCGAATCAGATGTCTTTAGATGGCTCATCACAATAGGCAAAGCTGCTTTGAACTCTACAGTAGAGTTATAAGTTAACATCATATCATCTATATGATGGAACACAGGTACTCTTGAAAGGAGATTCCCATGTCAAATCTGTCACCACAAAATGTGATATGTAGTGTGGCTATGTAGTTAGAATGATGAAGATCCATTGCTGGCTGTGCAAAGTGAAAGCAATCTGTTCTTGACTCTCAGGAGATGCATCAGCGAAAATTAATACACAGTAGGTTCCAAATTCATGCCAGAAAGTTCATATCATTCACCAATGAAACTGCTCATTTACAGGAGGAGGAAAAATGTGTTAAGCTCCTAGTAATTTGCAGCCATCCTCCACATCCCATCTAACTTCTTTTCACAAGCTATACTGGTAAATTAAATGGGCTACATGTGGGTTTAATAATGCCTACCTTCTGCTGTTCATGTGTGGTTCCAATAATTTCTTCATGAAAGAAATACGTTGCACTGCTTGGAATTTGTATCCACCTAGATGTGTCTAGTTGCAATAGAGAGTGGGCAACAATGTCCCCCAATGTTTATAGCCATACATTTTTACAAGCAGAACTCACCCCTATAGTTTCTTGCCATAGTCCCTGGAGAGCATCAATACCCAGTTTGTATAGCTGGCTTTGTAAGATACACACACAGTATATTCCAGAAGTACACTAGTCCCAAAGACAGCTTTATTACTATTTCTATAACCACAGTGTTCAAATAATCGGTACTCATTTGGGTGCCTTACTCATGTTGCATTTTTGTAAATGCATGGAACCATTGTTGTTGCCATAATTCTAGCCAGTATCTAATTAGTCTGATCATCCAGGTTTATGCTGTCTGCCTCTGCTGACAGGAGGGCGACACACATCTGAATTTAAGTAACTTTAATTGGTCCTTTCCCTGCTCCTTTCTGCTAAGACTTGGCCCACAGCCCCTTCTGAATACACATTGTCTCCACCTTTCCCAACTCATCAGTAATCACAGTATGAGCTATGATTATCATTATCACACTGATATGTTGCTGCATGTGTTGTGCTTGCATTGCTGCCAAGGCACCAAACAGGGCAAAGGAAGCAGTCTGCAGCACAGGATCCCAGCACAGGGATCCCATTTCTTTGATGAAAACCTCCTCCAATGGCCCCTGAGCTTCATGAGTTGCATGCCTAACCTTCACAATACATGTTCTAGCTCATCGTAACCTACCACCTATTAATGACTCCAAGTAAATCTCTGGGATTGGGCCAAACCACAGGAACTTCATAATCTGACCTAACAAAATCATTCCCCAACATATGATGGATAGAGTGAAACTACTGCTGCAAGGCTGAATGTGCAGTAAGAGATGCCACTTTTTCCATTTATGGGTCCCAAAACAAAATCCCCTCCACCCCTACATCCCATAATCACAGGAGCCATCATTAGATCTAAGGGCCTAAACTTGGCTTCCAGATCCACTAGCTCTGCTTGAGAACACAAGAACAGCGTGGATGTTTCAGCACCAGGGCAGAATAAAGAAGTAGCCACCCCTGAGGAACCCCTGATTTCTTAGATTTTATGTTCTGGGCTTTGACTGGAGAACTCAGATTCCACAAGCACTGTGTAGGGGGTATAGCTGCTGTTGGATATAGCTCGCAGGGTGGTAACCCATCTTTCTAAGCAGAAATATTTGTCCTTTGACCTCCAAGGTGAGTCACAGATCCCGTTCTTGTGTCTGGACCTGTGTTCCAGCATTAGTTTCTGCCTGCAGGACAGTTAGAAAGACATACACTGCAGCTCCTTCTGTTGCCCTGGCATCTTTCTTAGCTAATATGTCTCCGAAGGCATGTCATGTACCTTTTCTACACTGCTGGCCCATTCACCTGCTTCATCACACTTCTGGACTGGTACTCATGAGGACAAGGTCCTGGCCCTCAAATATAACTTACCCATGACCAGTCACCCCTGGATCCCACACTACAGTGGGCAAGGGTTTCCATTTTGGCCTTCAGTGAAGGGTTTCAACTACAAAAGCCACATAAAGACAGGCCACATAAAATATTCTAGAGCCTTCTGTAGATTTATACCTGTGTTCTCGCAGTAGCAGACAAGGATACATATGAAATATCCTCTGAACTTATGCTGACAACTGAGTTGCATCAAGGAGGTGGGCATCCATGGGTCCATGAACCATCAGGGCTGGTGGTTCGAGTAGAGCCCAGGTCACCTGACCCAAGTCTCTAGACCTGCCTGCGTGGTGGGGGCTGGTTCGTGAGCCCTGGGGTGGAATATCCAGCTGGACTTGGGTTGTCTGCTGCAGAGTTCATTGCCTGCCTGCATGGTGGGTGCCGGGTTTGTGAGTCCTGGGAGTGGGGGAATCCAGCGAGGCAAGGGTAGCCTAGTCCAGGTCTCTTAGCCCACCTACACAGTGGGAGCTGGGTTTCCACCTGTGCAGTGGAAGCAGGGTGGAAACATGATGAGGGCCCTGTAGTCTTGAGTCCAATGGGGCCTGGGTCATCTGGCTTGGCCCCTTGACCCACCAGTGAGTACTGGTCATCCTTAGCTGAAAAGATGGAGTAGTGGACATTGGTTCAGATCCACATGCAGGAATTGGCACCCCATTGAGTCCTGCATGGAACATCTGTACCGTCCCACAGGAAGAAGAACAGAACAAATTGAACAATTACCCTAGCTAAATGATCACAGCAAATATCTGAGTGAATGGAGACTCTGAGGTTGGCTATGTCAGCCAATGGGCATTGAAAAGGGTCCCTCATCCTTGGATCAATGAGACTGACAACATTTCAGAACTATTGAAACTACCTGGGCAGAATTCTCAGAGTATGTGCCACATTGGAACCCTGGGTTGATATTGGGTGGCCATCCTCCATCCCTGGGCTCTGGGGTAGTTGGAAGGCTGTGTATGGCTTCTCCCTTTATCCCCCCATACCCACCTCAAAACAGGAAGGAGAGATAGAGAATTTGGAAATAATGCTCGCACCCGATTTCCCCTAATCCTTGATCCACCCCACTCTGACCAACCATGTTAATATAATCTAAAATAAAAATAAATGTAAAATTATAAAGAAAAACCCTGTGGGCACCCAGCTCTCTGTCCTCAGGTTTTTACACATTTTTACAGATAGAAGTGTCATAGCAGGGAATGTATCAGCTTTACTGGCCTACTGGTTTTCTAGGAATAATCAATCTTTCAGCCTAGTGACCAGCAGAAAATACACATTTGGCTGCATTTCCTAAACTATGTAATTCATGTCTAAGGTAGTGTCAAAGCTTTTGTAAAATATTACAGCCTGACAGAAAGCCCACAATGATGGGATAACATCTTCAATTTTCAGTTCATATTTATTTTGTCAGGAGCAAGTTTCACCAAAAAAAAAAAAATAAAAGATGAAAATGAAAAACAATTTTAGTTTTTCTCTAATGACAATTATGAACTATGTTAGATAAGTCTGAATTCACTTTTTGATTTAGTTAATCTTGCTTTATTGTATAGCTGAAATAAACTAATAAATACTAAAAATCTACATTAAAGATAGCCATTCTTTCAGGTGTTAAGGTACATGGTCAAATGCTAAATAAATACTTATTTGTTTTCTTTTATTTCATTCAAAGCTTTTTTAAAGGGTTATTTTAAGAAGCTACAGAGAGATTCAGAGCAAGATATCCTCCATCTCCATTCAATATTCAGTGGCTGCAATAGGCAGGGCTAGATCAGTTTGAATCCAGGAGCCAAGAAACTAATCTGAGTCTCGCACATGGGCTACAGGGGCACAGGTACTTGAGTCATCCTTCACTGCTTTCCCAGTAATGTTATTATGGAACAGGATCAGAGATGGAGCATCCCAGAATAGCACTGGCACCCATTTGGGATGTCGACACTATAGGCAGTGGCTTAACGCACTACGGCACATTTTCAGTCACTAAGTTTTTGCTTTTTCCTTCATTAAATTAATGAGTTTGTTTGTGAAGTAAAGTCTTTAGGGCTTTTAAAATTTTTGCCTAAGTTCTGTGATATCGAAGATTGTTCCTCTTTTGCCTCTATCTTAGAAACCAGTAGAAATGTATTAAATCTGTAAAAAGGGGACGAACAAAGGAATGCAGGATGTTTGGAAGAAAAGTCGAAGTATGGCACCGTATAAAATTAGACAATCCACTTAAGATGTTTTTGGCACTCAGACTTTATTGTTACTCACATGTACCTTCTCTTCAAATGCCCTCTGCTCATGCTTTCTTCTGAGTTTATTTACTGCCTTGCCTTTGTTTACTCATAATTTATGTTGTCTGTTGACTTGCCATGACCCTTACCAGTGTCTCTGTGTGAATCTTTGCAGTCCTACCTTTACTAGTGATTGATGTTATTTGCTTGTATTTTGTACCTCGAACTCCTAAAACAGATGACCACTGATAAGCTTATGTCGGCCTTTCTATAATGGATAATTTCATCTGTATCTATAGTCTGGGAGTCCATAAGGCAGATACTCATCCAGGTCGTAACAGCAAAGATTTGGGAGTTGTGCAGTGTAGAATATCATCTGTGTTTGGTTATAATTTCCTCTGTGTTGATTATGTTCTCTGACATTGCTTTGGTAACAAACATATTCTCACAAATTCTGAACTTATATATCTCTCGTAGGTCAGAACTTTCAGCTGCCAATGTTAGTTCAAGTTAAGGTATCGAGGAAAATGTAAATAATCTTGACTCAGATTTAAATAGTGTAATCACAGTGCCACTGAACTGTACCACAAGTGTTTTCTCTTGATAACTTAAATATATTTAACATGGAAAGTCTGCACAGTGCTTTAGAATTTATGATTCACAAGTATAAAATTCTGACATAAAAAAAAACAGAAATATGACCCCTTCTCCCCACAGTATACCATGTTTGTATCTTTGCTTCTTGCCTATGCTAGCATGACTCCAGAGTAATAAGACATCAGCAAATGCAGCATCTGCTTGCAACTGTTGTCCTTGCATAGCCAGATAGGGGTACATGGGTGTACAGTGAGTTAAACATTTTGTGTGTGTGAACTTTCACTACATGTTAATCTCCTCTTTTCTCCACACTCAAAACTAAAAACAAAATGGAATTTCAAAGACATTGAAGAAGTCAGGAAGCAGAGCATCAGTGGCAATTTAAGATGAAAAAGAATCATGGTAATTAACTTAAAGTCTGTTGCTAGAGGCAGCTAGCAGTTATGATTATTTTCTTTTTTAAAATGCGTTGTTTCAGAACAGCCTTAAATGTAGCAGACAACATTGTAGAATCATACTGAGTTCCAATTTACTCCACATCCAGCTTCCCCTATTTTTAGTATTGCATATTAAATATTTGCCATAACCCATAAACATCATCCAACTCTCATTTTTTAAGATTTATTTCTATTTATTGGAAACTCAGCTGTACAGAGAGGAGGATACACAGAGAGGAAGATCTTCCTTGTGCTGATCACTCCCAAAGCAGCCGCAACAACCCGAGCTGAGCCAATCTGAAGCCAGAGCCAGGAGCCTCTTCCAGATCTCCTACGTGGGTGCAGGGACCCAAGGCTTTGGGGTGTCCTCAACTGCTTTCCCAGGCTACAGTCAGGGAGCAGAACGGGAAGTGGGGTGGCTGGGACATGAACCGTCACCCATATAGGATCCCAGTACATGCAAGGTGAGGACTTTAGCCACTAGGCTACTGCACTGGGTCCATCTCCTTATTTTTTTTTTAAATCCAAACTTCTATCTGTCCTGCTTCTTCTAGCCACCAATAACAAATATTCTGTGTACCTATTCAAATTTTTAGTGCCCATTTGTGAGAGAGAATCCTTTTCTTTTTGTGTCTGACATATTTAACTTTCCATGATGCCCTTTTTATGGATGAGCAGTATTCTGTTCTGCATATATGCCACATTTTCTTTATTCATTTATCTAATGATAATTGCTCGTTGCTGGATTTTGACTATTGTGAGCAGTGTTGTTATGAACAGGATGCAGTGACTATTTTTTGATACAACCGTTTCATATCTTTTTAGATAATTGTCAGATAATTTTTAGCAACAAATATCTTCTCCCATTCAGTCAGATGATTCTTACCTTTGAACAGGTTTCTTTGCTGCGAAGAAGCTTCCAGGTTTGATATAATCCCTTGTGTTTATTTTTTCTTCTGCTGCCTGTATTGTTAGTGTCATCCAAAAATATCAATGCTTACACCATTTTATCTATTTTCTTTTAGAAATTTCATAATTTTAGAACTTAGTTACATCTCTGATCTATCTTGGTCTCTGGTGTTTAGTAAATGTCAAGTGAAATTTAGTCCTTGCGCATATTTTTATCCATTTTACCAGTAGTTCTTTTTCAAACTGCGTTATCATATATATGTATGTATATATGATAACATATATATTCTTGGCACCTTTATGAAAAATCTATTGGATCTGCATTGCTACTCTGTTCCACTGACCTATGTGTCAGCTTTTGAGTCAGCACCACACAATTACAATTGCTTTACAGTATTCTTTTAATCAGATATTATATGGTCTTGAACTTGGTTCTCCTGGCCTCCTTCCCAAACCTTACCATGGATATTCTGGGTCATTTGTGATTCCATATGAATTGCAAGAATTATCTTTCTAATTCTATGGAAAATTTTATTGATGTTTTGTTGATACTGCATCAAATTCCATGAACATTATATTTGTGTCATTCCATAAGGAATTCCTGCATCAGCTTCTTTTTGGTTTCCATTCATATTATACATCTTTTTTTTTTTTTCAAATTTCACTTTCATTTTATGTGTATTTTTATTTGTTGATACATTTTTTTTTACCAGTGTACAGTTTGATATTACATTTTTTCCATTCAACCAATATATTTTTGATTGGGAATTTTAATCCATTTACATTCAAGGTTAATATTGATGGATAAGAATTAATTCCTGTTTTGCTGTTAATTTGTTACTGAATTTTTGTGTTACGTTTTATTATAATTATTACTTGCAATGTATGAGTTCTTCAAGATTTATTCTAAAAATGTCCTGTAAGTTTTCTTACTAAGTCATCTGGTATTAGTCTGTTAGACTTTCCTGTATGTAAATTGACATTTTTCTTTTATTTTCTTTGATTCTCTTCTTAGCCTTAACTTTTGACTTTAATATGCCCTGAATAAAAAGCCAATTTTGGCTGGAGATCTTGGAGCTTCCTGAATCTGAATGTCTATGTCTGCCTCAATACTTGGGAAATTCTCAATATTATTTTCCAGTAGGTTTTCAGGCCCCTTTTCCTTTTCTTGTCTTGCAAGAATCCACAAAATATGAATATTTATCCACGTTCTTTTTCATTCTTTCCTCTTCATTTTTGTCTCGCTTGGTTATTTCTTAGATCATGTCCACAAGATCAGAAATTCTTTCCTTCATTAGATCCACTCTTGCTAACTTGCAATTTTTTTGTTTTATTTCATTGAATAAAGTTTTCAGCTCTGAGTTTTGTTTGATCCTTCATAATGATTCTTACATCTTTATTAAATTTCGCTCTTATTTATAATTCTACTTGTTTATTTTAGGACTGTAATTAAGTTTTCCTGGGATAATTATTTTGAATTTTTTTAGCATATTCTAGAATTACTTCATATTGGGATTTATTTCTGGAGAAATACTGTGTTCTTTTGAAAGTGTCATACTTCTTTGATTCATGTTGGTTGTGTCCTCACGCTAATTTATACACATTTGGTGTAATAGCTCCTATATTACTGAGTGAGTTTTGCTTTAGGAAAACACTTCTTTAGATGGGATATGTGGTTTCATGGGTGTTGTAGCTTTATCTTTAGTTCTCGGTGAGCCCGAAAGTGTCACTTCTGAGATACAGTTAATTTTGTGGTGTCTCCTCTTGCCACAGTTGTCTAATTTTCAGCAACTAGAGGAAATAGAAGTATGACTTTGAAATAAATATGGTCATCCTAGGATATGTACCTGAAATCCCTGGTCAGTTTGATGTCAGTCAAACTAGGGTTTGTTATGGTTAGTGCCTCCTCTTTGATTCTGAAACACCTAGAGAGGCCCAACCGCTTGTACTACCAGGTAAACCTGAGTGATGCTCAGAGCTTGTGTCATCACTAGCTATTCTGGGACTGTGTGTTGTAGCTGGGATAGTCCCCAGTTCCGGCCAGGGGAGAGTGATGGATACTGGGATTTACAGCACTGAAACCTTAGAATCAGTACCTTGTGCTAGAAGATATATTAAAGCTATTCTGGGATTGACGATCTTGTCCTTCCTTAGATTTTATAGGTAGATTCTGGTGACTGAGGAATATAGTCACATCCCTGTCACTTCAGGATGCAGTAACATAATTAAATAGGCCTCAAAAGGTGAGAGCCATTTGCGTTGTGAATTATGGACTAGAAGTTACCAGCCTAAATCATGGGCATGCAAATAAGGCTACCTGAATACTGTATGTGAATGCAAGCTTCATGTATTTCAACACCAATAGCAGCACTTCCAAATCTGCATGGCACAGATAGAACAACCCCAAGTTCCCTGACTGGTGTATACCCTATCCTGGTTCTTACATCTGCCAGCGGGTGCTGCAGACTGGGTCAACCTGGTCTACCTCTAGAGCTGACCCACACATATGCCAACTGGTACTGTAACCTGGTCTGGCATTGACTACCCTCAGCCTCGAGTCTCAGGCTTACCATCTGAATCTGTTATTCTAACCGGAGTTCCCCGAGCTCCATTATTAGATCAGCTCCCAGTCACGGATCTTGCCCACAAGATGGATGCTTCACTTGGCCTGACTTGGCCCACCTTCAGTCCCAACATTCACCAGGGGCTTCACATATCCCATGTACCAATCAAGTGACATGCAGGTTAATTTTCATTATTGTCAACAGCAATGATGTGTTGGCAGATTTGATACTGCAGACTGTAAAGTAATAAAATGTGGATAGTTTATCTTTTAGGTAGATGGAAAATTGCAAGATTTTAAGTCTAGGTAACATATTGGAATAGTTTTGACTCGTTTAAGGTATTTAAGTAAAATGGTTCTATCAGGAAATATGATAATGAATATTGAAAGTCTCACTGAGATGGAAGGATTGACCAAATGAACTTAATAGATTGTTGGATACTTGTCACAAAACAAAAGCAAATTTAAATCAGGAACAAAATCTCAGCTAAGATCCTATTCTCCAAGAATTAGGAATTTAAAAAAATTTTATTTCTAAGATTCTATTCCTTCTCATGCTAAATATAGGGTTTTCTTGTAATTAAGTTTGTGTATGTGTGTTTCTTTGTGTGCAGATTTGGCATTAGTAAAACTGAATCTTTGGAGGATGTTTGGATTTATACTTCTTTCTGTTATTTTAAGCTTGTATATATTATTCATAATATATGGTGGTTTTTTTTAATGAATGGATCACATCGTCATGTCAGTTTCAGATGTTACACGGATGTTAGGTATTACTTTGCCAGTCTCACATAATGCTGGGTTCAGCATTCCTATTAGAAGCTTTCAACTCTGACTTAAGCACATTCACAAGGAAATATTAAATTAAAAACATTATCATCATTATCATTATCAAGTAAGTATTTGGTAATTTATTTAGGGCCATTGAGTGTGGATATATTATGATATATAATCCTAACTATGCTGTGAATAGATTTTTAAATAATTCCGATATATGAAACAAAAATATAAAAATCGATTGATAATAAAAGGCAACATTTGTTAGGTATCAAATAAGTGAGCAAGTAGAATAAGTTATGGGAAGTCACAGACTGATTAAAATTTCAGGTCTCCTAATTTCTAATGAGATCATTATGAATACTTGATGCTTGAAATGGTTCTATGGTTATTAAAGAGCTACCAAGCAGCTGAAAAGTTACCTTAATTATTGAAGTGAACGTGATATGAACTGAGGAGATGTATGGTGGAGAGACTGTTTATAATGAAGGACTGTCTGTTTTGGGTGAGTGGAGAGATCTCCTAGAAGCAGAATTGAAATAGTTCTGTGGATATTGATGTAACATGGTTTTTTTGTTTGTTGCTTTTGCTTTATTGTTTGTTTTCTGTTGTTGTTTGTAAAGCATATCCTATACAATGTAAATTGTAGATTCACTCCGTAGAAGTACTTTACACTGTGTAAACTGAGAGTTAATTATTACAGTAGTACAGGGTACACCAAATAGAAGAAGCAAATCTGAAGACAGATTATTCAGAAAGAAATATGGCACAGACTTTCATGTGTGCTACAAATGGATGACACAGGGTAAAGACACATAAAGAAAATTCCGAAACTCCAGAAACTGGTTTCTTTAAGAAATCATTGTATGGTTAGTAGCAACCGCAGAACAAAACATCTTTCAAATGCTTCGCCTTTAACCCTCTTTGTTGGAAAACTTTTTTTAACCGCACACTGAGCTGCTTCCATATTATGCTTTATATTCTTACAGAGTACTACACACTCTTGTGACAATTCACTTTGAAGTTATGCTCAGTGGTATATGGGTTGATGAAAGAAAGTACTATTATCTTTCGAAGCAGATTTGGAACATGATAAAGAAAAAAGGGAATCATGGGAAATAGACCTAACTTGGTCTTCAAAAGGCCTTTTCTCTCCCTGTTAAAAAAGTCTTTAAATTTAGTTGCCACCCTTTTCAAAAATAATTGTGATCCTCTGGTGCTTTATTTGAGCTAGATGAATGGTTTTACACTCATTAGTGACAAAAGAAATGACAGATTTATATTTAATATTTTATATTCTGTGTACATAGATTTTAGTAATATCCACTTTTTCTGTGTAATCTGATTTATTTTGGGTCATCAGAAAGAAACCATTGAAGTCAGTACTTAACAACTACCTTCTTATGTAGCCAAACATGAAATGCAGAATAGAATACTAAATAATACTAGTTTGAGAATGTAAACAAGAATTCAAAGTAAAATTTCAGCCGTTCTTATAGAAGTATACTTATTTAAACGCAAAAAATTACTTGAAAAGTAAGGAAAACCGTATTGAATAATATTTTTTCTATAATTTACGAAAGCAATGTATAAAAAAGAAGTAATGGATTCAAATTCCCTAAAACATCTTACAGTTCCCTGCATGTGTGAACACAGGATTAATCACATGAAATGTTATACAATGTCCCCATAAACTGAGCAAATGGAATATGACCTTCTGTTTTACCGTCTTTCTTAATAATTCAATATATTTTAAATAACAATGCTTCTCTTTTCCACTCATTGTGAGATCTGTGTTCCAAAGCTTATAATGCAGACAGACTTGGCTTCAAATTTCTGTTTGTAAATCTCAGAATGAGGCTAATACACTAAGTGACGATTTATATGTAATATACATTTATGACATGAGTTCTGTGTTCTGTGTAATCCTGACGTTAAATGCGTTCTGTAGAGCCTGGTGCAGTAGCATCGTGGCTAAAGTCTTTATCTTACATGCTCTGGGATCCCATATGGGCACCAGTTCGTATCCCAGCTACTCCATTTCCCTTCCATCTCCTTGCTTATGACCTGGGAAAGCAATTCAGGATGGCCCAGAGCCTTGGGACCCTGTACCCATGTGGGAGACCTGAAAGAAGCTACTGGATCCTGGTTTTGGATTGGCTCAGCTCCGGCCATTTCAGCCATTGGGGAGTGAACCAGTCAATAGAAGAGCTCTTTGTGTCTCTGCTTTTCTCCTTTAATCTGATCTGCCTTTCCAATAAAAATAAATAAATTAAAAAAAAATTAATTTTGTGTCCACAGCGAAGTTATTTCACTTCTCTGTGTATGGTCTACTCAAATTACAATTAAAACAACAATATTAGTGCTAACTTCACAGAATTGTTGTTGAAGAGTTTAATGCCTCAGTGAAAGTTCTTAAGAGTTTAGTACATGAAGAAGCCATGTAATTTTATATGTTCATTTTATGTATGCTAATATTATTCCTTAGAGTATTATTTAAATTAAACATAAAGGGTCAGCAGTGTGACGTAGCATGCTAAGCCTCTGCATGTGGCCCTGTCATCCCATATGGATAGAAAGTTGGAGTCCTACCAACTCCACTTCCAACCCAGTTCCCAGCTGATGTGCGGGGG